CCATCTCCAAAAATTACTAAATTAACTCTAATTAACATTTTCCTAACCCAAATAATATTCAAGGTGTTATATAGGTCTGGTCTTTGTGGAGTTTTCTTAAAATAACAAGTCATAATTTTCTAACATTTGAACTTAAATATAAATTTAATTTATTAAGTTTACTTTTACGATGACTATTTTATTATTCTTTTTAAGGTAAATTATACAAATCGTCTATTGTGTATGTGTCAAAACGCACGTTTAGTTCATATTTTCAAAAATTAACTCAAACCGTCCCGCATTGGTTTAAACTTGCACACATCATCCTTGAAAGACGATTTTGTTGCGAACTTAATCCGTGCCAAAACAGAAATTGCAATAATACACTTATGTATTTATTTTTCAGTTAATCTGATATTATTTATTATTATTTATAATCTTAAAAACGAAATGGACCCCACTCCCACCACCCCTCACCATCTACTCACTCACCTAAGAACATATGATATCTTTCTCTCTGTATCACTTACTTCCCCATCCTCTCTCCAGAAGAACCATTGGCATCCAATTCCTCTGGTGACCATTACCTCCGACATTAGAACGACAACCGAACAACACTACCATGTCAGAATATCACATTATATGGAGTTAATGATGGTCATTCATGGAGACCATTTCCAAAACAACACTGTCACTGCCAATTAGTCGCCAAGGTGAGCCAACATCGCCATCGGTGGACCGCCATCGTTGCACACTATAGGGTTCGCAGATCTAGATTCTAGAAACAACTTTCTTCTTTGTTCGTAGAGATCAGTGTGCTTGTGCTTGTGCTTGTGCTTGGGGTTAGGGCCCATTTTTTTTTAAAGGCAATAAATATATATATTTTTAATTATAAACAAATAAATATATAATTAATAAATAACAAATAAAAACAAAATAAATGAGAAAGAAAAAGAAAATGGCAAGATAGTCATTTTATGTCTGCGAGGGAAACGTGCACATTTTAACGATATGTGAGGGATGGTCCAAATTCATTTTAAAAAACAGGAACTAAATGCACATTTTAACACATGCACGATGGACGATTGATGTAATTTACCATTCTTTTTTATTTATTAATATTTAATTTTATTATTTTTAGTTTATTTATCTTTTTAAAATGTTAATTTTACTAAAAATGAAAAAAAACCTGGATGTCACATAAACAAATGAAGATATATATATATTCTAAGTCATTGTTGATTTTTTTTTGAATATTGATGGTTGTATCTATCAAAAAAGTTGTATGTAATTATTACTTTGTTGTTTTTAATAAAATTGTTTTGTTTATGATTCTTGTTCAAATATTACAAAATAGAAATATGCATATATAATTTATATAAATGTTATATTGAATATGCACACATGACACATCCATGCATCATGGATATACAATATTACATACTTAATGGATATACAATATTATATATATATATATATATATATATATATATATATATATATATATATATATAATATAGATCCGGTAAGAAGGAAATTTTTGGTAGGAAGGTAAAATGTTTTTTTTTCTATATATTTTTTTGACGAAAAAAATAAATGAATCACTAGATGATTCATTTGTAATATGATTCACAAGAAAAAATTCTTAAAAAAACATCTTTATGATTCATTTTTCAGTAAATTAAGAAAAAATTCACTTTTATGATAATTTTAGTGAATAACAACAAAATCATTGTATAAATGAATCATCGAGATGTTTTTTTGAGAATTTTTTCTTGTGAATCATCTTACAAATGAATCATCTAATGATTCATTTTGTTTGTTTGCGAAAACAATATGTAGAAAAAAAACTTCTTACCTTCCTACCAAAAATTTCCTTCTTATTTGATCTTGACTCTATATATATATATATATATATATATATATATATATATATATATATATATAGAGAGAGAGAGAGAGAGAGAGAGAGAGCTAGGTTCAAATGTTTCTAACAACTATTGTGCTCCTGAATACACCAATCAGATATTAGCAAATACTTAAATAATTAATTAAATCAAAAAGGGTATTTCTGGTTTTTTGCACTTGTAATTAATGAGATCATTTAATAAAATCCATGCAATTAAGGAAACAAAATAAATAGGTTTGACCTAATCTCTCTCTTTTATCTCACGTTAGTTATTCTTCTTCACCTACAAAAGAAAAAGAAATCAAAGAAGTCGGCCATAACTTCACTCATCTCAACGACCCTCCTCGTCACCAGTCCTCCATCATTCCTTCACTCTCGTTCATGTTATCGTACAATTTCCAACACAAACGATCATGCAACACTTCCTTGAACACTTTTCTAGATGGCTTTCTTAATGTCAAATCTTCGATTTTAGAGGTATTTTTCTTAGTTGGTCGCAATCAAGTTCACAATCTGAAGTTTAGATTCATCAGGTTTGTTATTTTCTCATTCTTTGACTTCATATATTTCTATTTATCCTTCTTTGACTTCATATATTTCTGTAATCCAAGTAAATCTCGTTTTTTATGATATGTTTGATATGATTCTGTCATGGACTCTATGTGTTCGATAAATTGTCTCAATGAAAAAATAGTTAATAATATTTAATTTTTTAGCTTCTCTCCAACAAGAAATCTGATGGCTTTTGCTCCACCCAGAACTTCGAAAAATTAACAGTATAATTTTTATGTACAGAACACTGGTCTTGATTAGGTAATTACCACAAAATTTTGATTATGGGCATATTTGACAGCAATTCTGTTGGAATGGAAGATCAAGATCTAATTCTGCCAGAATGGAATCTCGATTTTATGGCATGGAATCTCAAATTACTCGTTAGTATTTGAAGGTATACACTCTTTTATTGTAAATTTAGTCACATTCATGTATTTATTAATTACATATGATGTATGTTTCATCAAATGGAGTATAAAGATCTGAGCATTTGATTTTGCCTGCCAAATGTTTGTTAAAATGTTTGAATCAAATATTTCAGCCAATTTTTTTTGTAATCTTTGAACTATCATATCTCTCTCATACTAGCTTGGAATGATCTGATATTTTTTTCTACATATTCTCCTTTGTGTTAGCTACAAGTTAGGTTCTGAAGTCATTTTAATTGGATTAATATTGGCTGAGTTATAGTCCTTCGAACATTGGATGTTACAGCTGTATTTTTAGCACTTTTACTTTGTTCAGAAATTTTTGTGATATTTGAAGTGTCATATTTTACCACATTTCTAGCTTGTAATAAGCTACCTTTTCCAAGTATTGTCCTCTGTGTTAGCTACAATGTAGGCTCTAGAATCATTATAATTAGATTAACTCTATTATTTGGATCAAGTGACTCGGGGAATACTTGATCAAGTGACTCGAGTATTACATTCTGTTAGAATAAGTTAAAATTCTTTAATGTCATACACATTCTATTAGAATTTATAGTTGTATTCTTTTAGAATATACTAAAAGTTTTAATATTTTAAAGTTGATTATGTTTTGTTTTTGGATTTAGGTTTCGAAGCGGCTGCCATTGATGTGGAAAATGAAGAAAACATGAAGAAAGAGGGTATTCTAGCAGAATGTATTCTGCCAAAATGTATAAAATATTTCTTAACAATAATATTCTTTCAGAATAGGTTAGTGTTTTTGTTAGATTTTGATGTTTTTTTTTTCATTTTTTAACCATTCTTAGTTTTAATCTTTAAGAATAAATATAATTCTTAAACCATGCATTGTTAATCATCTTTATAATAAATGTAATAATTGCTTATAGTCTTATTATTTACGAATTTATGTAATTAGTGATTCTTAAAAAATAAAATCATTACTCTTTAGAAAATGTTAATCTTGATAATATGTTGTATAATTTTTTAAGCATGAAACCATATTCTACAAGAACAAAAAAATAAAATATATTAGTTTAATTATCAAAAATATATGAATTGAAATTCTATCATTCTGACAGAATAAAATCAGATTTTTAGATTTGAATTAATTAAACAAATTCAGATATTTAAAAATAAGGGAATTAATTATCCCTTAAAATCCAAAAATTTCCTTTTTTAATATAGGTTAATTGACCAAAATACCCTTATGTTGAAACTTATATGATTATATGGTACATATTACCCTATTGTAATATCATAGACACTCAGATCATAACCTTTGATTTTATTCCATCGGTTATATATATATATATATATCTATATATATATATATATATATATATATATTATATATATATATATATATATATATATATAATCTTATGCATGTGTATAGTTCCCTTTTTAACCGAAGTCATGATTAATATATACATGCTTGTAAAAGCGGACATGGAACACATGCATACCCATAAACAAAATCGTGAATTGTTTATATGCTTACTCACGCTGACCTAATTAATGGAACATGCATATATGCCCAAAAAAAGTCGTCGTGTATATTTATATGCTTATGAAGGTAGACCTAACAGAACACGTAAGAACACTTGTGATAATGTATGCATATGATCCTGCATTAATATCCAAGTTAGATATCTATTAAATCAAATTTGTTCATATATATAAGATTGAATATGTGTCCACCCATGTTATTCTGATGATGTTTAGTTATTACGTTTTTGGATTATGATATTAGATGCATTGTTATTTTGATTTAGCTTCGAATAGTTAAAATGACAGTTACGTTCTAGAGATGTAGCACACCTCCAATCAGTTTCATTTTAGTCTACATATATACTTACATATAAAACATATCTAAGTTCCATATTATAAGTTTATTATCATATAATGTATCTATATACCAAATATAAGACACCCAACTGCCAAAAATCAATTTTTATTTTCGCTTCATTTGATCATTAAACTTTTAAATTAAATATAGTTTGAATGCTGATTCTGGAATATAATTTCTAAACCGACTGAAAATAAACTCCTTTTGATTTTAATGTGTCCTATAAGTAAACAATGAAAGTTAGTCACGTAAATTATCGAAAATCACATAAAACAAATCGTCATCATTAAACGAAAATCTTTTTTTCTTTATTACAATAGAAGTAAATGCATATGAGTCATGAAAATATACCTTTGGCCAGAATCTTATAATTCTCACAATCATCTAAAAGACGTAGGGAATAATGGCTTTAACGTCCTTAGGGAACATGTGCCCAAACTTTGATATGTACCATTTCCGTGTGGCATAACTCCTCCCCGTCAAGTATAGAGCTGTGCCCAAAGTGAAAACGAAAGCATACAACGTTTGTGAAATGCACGAGATCCCTATATATTCAATAATCTCTAACATATAGTGTGGACATATAACCAAATCAAACAACCCGCCTCGAGGGATTTTGTACTCTTTGTCCCCCTCCTTCCTTAGATTAGCAAGAATATAATGGTGGTAAAAGTTCCCAATTATTCCTACTACGAACAACCCAATTCCAACGTATTTTAGATCCACTGAAGGCTCGGGAATGTCTCTAGATAGATATTGAGCATAAATCATTGTCGTGGTGGAGAAGGTATAGCTCATTGGGATGAGTATTGCCGATTCTAGCGGCATGTAACCACTATACTTGTGAAGAAAGAGTACCTACGTAACAAAGTTGCAATAATCAAAACCAACAAAATGTACTCAATCTAGTTTCAAATGGATCAACATCCAAACATATAATATTTTTGTATATATTATATATATATATATATATATATATATATATATATATATATATATATATATAATATTTATGTATGCAGTGTAAAAATTTTGAATTTTTTTTCTACTATTGTGCCGCTATTTAAATTTCTCGTATCACCCCTATTATGAAATCATGCGTCCGCCCCTGACATCATCTCGTCGAAGACACAGCATCATGTGATGTGTTAATTAGGTACACAAAAGTGTGTGTAAGAGTTCAGTGTAGACAAGGAACCTAATCCGTTTTGGAATTGAAACTCTCACGATGTTGCCATAAGAACTCGAATCCTTGTGTGGTTTTGCAAAAACATGCTATGACCTGGAGGCAAAACACATAATATTTTAGAAATTGTGTATCTGGAAATGTACCTCAAGCACTCTTTTGAAGAAATGTGTAGTGAGAGCCGAAGCAACCAACACAAATCTAAGATATTGATCGGGAAACACGAGTAAAGAACCCAATGCCACGAGAAATGCCGGTGTGTACACTAGAAGCATCCCGTTTCTACTTGACAACTTCATATCATCTTTTTTCTTTGCAAGACCTACGTTCAAGAACTTGGAATACTGCATATGTTTGCCTTTGATCTCCATGTACCCCGCGTTCATTAATGATGCAAGACCAACAACCGACATCATGGTGACAAACAATGATGATGGTGGTCGAAACACGAAGTTTAACAAAATCGAAGGAATCGACATTTTGAGTCAATGTACTTTTGGTGTTTTTGAGTTTGGTATAAATATTCTAGTGATGTATATATAGATCATGTGCAATGCGGTCAAATATTAATTTGCTACAGGCACAAACGTGTTGTTGTGGTTCCAAGTCCATATTTCGAAAGGGACACAGGCGTTGAATTATAAGAAAACAAAATTCGAGAATGTCGTTTAATGTTTTAAAATCAATATAATATTAGTTTTTAAGATATTAGAAATAATTAATAAAAACGATATTCTCGACGGCATATAAAATAATTAGACTAAATTACAAATTTCGTCCCTATATTTTTGATAAGTTATGACTTCAGTCCAATTACGTTTGATTTTTTCTTCGGTGATCGATTTTTGAAGCATAGTTTCCTTGCATTTTTTGTCTATAACCTATGGCATCAAAAGATGGACATTACGTCTAAGTAGAATTACTAATATGCCCCATCTTCACATCTTTATATTTTTCAATGAAAAGTTGAAAACCCTAATAATATTATTGATCTTGTTCATCTTAAATCTTAAACCCTAGAATCTAACCATAATAATAATAATAATTATAATAATAATAATAATAAACTCAAAATAAAATTAAACAAAATTCAGATCCAAAACAAATCTAAAATTACTTGAAAGGCAAGCAATGTCTCTATTTGTCCATCCATTTGGGTATTTTCGTCCATTGCTAGCTATAGAGTTTTTTGAAGAAGGATACCATATAAATGTTCTGGAAGCCAAATTCACAGCCACCTCATCCTCATATGATATTGTGGTCAAATCGCATCTGATGAGGACCGATTATCAAAACTGTTGACAATTTGCAATTCTGCGTTTCATTTAATTATAAGTTATAACGACGACTTATTTCTTAATTGGTAAATATAAAGAAACTGAATTTTTTCATCCAAAGGTTTTGATTATTATAACTTTAACAATTCATGAGAGCATAATCCAAAACTCGACGAACTCAATGTAAACAAAGGTACGTATAGCCGTATGGTTGAATTTAATTATGCTGGTATGAATTTGAAAAAGTAAAAGAAAGAAAGAAAAAAAGGTTTTAAAACTATTTAGGACTACTTGTGTCAGAAATCAAACGTTCTAATGAGGAAATTTTTAATTTAGTCAAACTATTTTATGGTACATAAATTGTATTTTACTATTTTAAGATAGGGAAAATCGCATATTTATGCAACATCGCTTTATATTTTTTCCAGTTTATTTAACAACATTTTAGGACTACTTGTGTCAGAAATCAAACGTTATAATGAGGAAATTTCTAATTTAGTCAAATTATTTTATGGTACATAAATTGTATTTTACTATTTTAAGATAGGGAAAATCGCATTTTATGCAACATCGTTTTATATCTTTTCCAATTTATTTAACTACATTTAATTTTATATAACACATTTAATATTGCTATAAAACATGAAAGAACCTCAACTAACTAGTCTTATACTCGTCTGATTGACGGTTAACCAATGTAAAAACAATCATTGTATTCTTGAAAAAAGAAAATATAGGAACCCAATTGCAATCCAAGATAATATTAAATGTGAAACATTTTTAACATGAATTCATAGAAATAAACAAAACACTCAAAAATTTAATGTAATGTCCAAAAGAATGTCATAAAACACACATTATAACTAAGTTAAAGGCAATTTGAAATTCGTATAGAGGTCATGAAATATCGTCATGACCTAGGAACTGTTTGTGTCAAATCTTTATGTGTGGCATAGTTAAGGCTGTGATATTCGATTTGTTTGAATGATCAACTTCTATATTAGCACAAACATCATAATTATAAAAATCCAAAAAACGGTAATAATAAACATAATTTAACAGAATAGCCAACAATAAAAGTTGAATGAAAATTATTTTCATACCATTAGAAAATTAGATAATTTAAATCATACGTTGTAACTTACGTCATTGTCTTCCTCATCTTTTACGTTAGACATAGATTTTTTAGATACATCATCTTCAATAATAGCACAATCATCCTAATCGTGTATATTGAAAACAACAATAAGAAACATAAATAATAAAGATTTCCATATCGTAAGAAAATTAGATAATTTAAACCATATGTTGTAACTTATATCAGTGTCTTCCTCATCTTTTACCTCAGACATATATTTTTCAAAACATCATCTTCAATATTAGCACAAACATCCAAACTGCGTTGAATGATATGTTCAACATTATTTAGTAGGCTATTACGTACACATGGTTTTCTTTGATTGTTCTTATTTTACAGTATCTTGTCACTTTAAGAGAGCAGTTAGAGTGAGTGATTACTATGAGAAAATTGAAGCAATTGTTGCTAACTTGGCTTTGCATGTGGTGCTTATATTTTCATTTCTTATCTTGGTGTATCATCCCAAAAATTCAACCATAAATTCTTAAAAGAAAATAAATGAATTAACTAATCGTATTAATAAGTGAAAACAACACCAATACCTCAACCACAACCAAAATCCGGCAACATAATAAAAAGTAACTACCTTAATCAAAACAATCGTAAATGAAACAACCCTATAAAAGAAAAAAAAAACAAGCTAAAACTAGAAAGAAAGTTATAAAAAAGGCTAAACTAGAAGCAGCAAAATTTATCCATCCTCACCCATGTAACAACACATCCGACATAAATGAACACCATATGCGTAAAGTAGTTGTGTAACTGAGATACAAAAATCAACATGAGGCTTATACTAACGGGTCACTGATAGCCTACACTAAACAATTGTTTCTATACTAATTTAGAATTGATCAATGAATGCCTACACTAATCGATCATGTCATCTTGTACTAGTGTGTTTGTTGCATATAAATCTTAATGAGATGTAACCACCATGCATGTCTCTTTAATTTTTTCCGATCCTAATCAACATTATGTTGCTACGCTTGATGTCCATATTTACCCTACATAAAAAGTACAAAATATCAAACAATTTTTAGACTAGAATTAGTCATAAAAGAAAATAGGTCACATTTCACCACTTATGTTGAAATTAGGCAACCTCGAGTTCCCTTGTCTACTATGATTGCAATCAAAGAACATAGAATACAAAGATGGAGAAGATGGAAATGGAATTCAATGGAAAACAATTCATTAATCTTCATAAGATGAAGACGATAATAGAAAAGACACAAACTTGTAACTTCACTTTTAAGGAGAAGTCAAAACACACTACAACCTTAAGAAAGGAGAAGGTTGCAATCAACTGAAATTTTGATGAAAAACAAGGTTTTGTACAACTGATTTACCTGAGAAACGAGGTTGTGAAAATTTGATGAATTTCGGTTTTGTTAATGAACTAGGTGTAAGACTCGTGCAGTACATGAGTTTATTAAAAATAAAAATTTAATATAAATTTGTAAACATTACGTATTTTTTAAAGTAATACTTTTACATAAATAAAAAGGATATAATCATGAATAAAGTAAGTAATTCAATATATACTAATAAAAAATATTAACATATTTTAAAAAATGATGTTGAAAATTTAGGTGTAAGCATTAAACATTTTTTTTAAAGTAAACTTTCGAAATAAATACAAACGAAATGATAATAATTAGGTAGTTGGATGTATATTAATAAAAAAAACTATTGACATAGTTAACATAACATTGAATTTCTTTTATCTAAATATAATTTTATATGTTTGTGTTTGTCTGTAGACTCGTTTGAATCCATATTATATTTTTATCTTTAAAACAATAATAAATCCTAAAATAAAATTATGATGCAAAAATGTTATCAAATTTTAAAAGTTCAATTATTAAAATGGAGACATTATAAATTTATGTGTAGCTATAAAAAAAATTTGTTAATCACTACACATTTTACATGACTTGAGTTTGTAAAACGTAAATTCACTTTTTATTCATTGCTCATATATGTATTACATGTATAAAATATAAAATATATATACTACTTAATTGTCATATAACATATAAAAAAATATTATATATAGATAAAATACTTAGTATTTTCTTAAGTATATCTAGAAAAATATAAGAACTTATATATTATATAAATATATATATATATATATATATATAGGTAAATATAAATTTATATTGAAATAAAAGACATTTACCTAAATACATGACTTAAAAATGCTTAATGTTAATCCCTTGAGATGTGTGTTAAATAGCTACCATATATAAACATTTACTATGGAAAGAAACAACTAGAGCATTTATTCTCAAAATTAATAGAATTAATGTATCTACCATATATAAACTCTTACTAAAAAGTGGATTTTAAATTTTAAAAAACTGAAAAAGATAAGAAAATGACAAGTGGAAAAAAAGAAAATCCAAAAATCTTAGAAAATGACATATGTCAAATGTAATGAGAAGATGACATTTGGCAAAATCATTTTTATTTATTATGGTAGATGTTTGATCATTGAATGTTATTTAATGTTGATAAATATTTGATTGATGGAGTTTCAATGATTTATGATCATTAGATGATGTTTTTTTGGAAAGGGAACTACCCTAATGAGGGTTTTCGGTCAGCTTTCTTGTACCGATAAATCCACCGCTGCAAACATGAGACTATGTCTCACCGCAGACGAACCTCCATGACCACAGGGCTGAGTAGTGCCACAATTTGAACATTGATCAATAGGTTATCCACCATATATTCCACATGTCTTACCAAGTCACCACAACCCAAGTGGTTTCATTAGATGATGTTAAGAGTGATAAATTTGGAAATTTTGTAAGGATTATGCTTGAGATCAACATTTGGACTTGGTTGAAGAAAGATTTATAATTCAGTACAAATAATCAATGATTTAGGAGGAAGAATTAATGATTTTGAATGGAGAATTAATGATTTTTTTGTGAAGAGCGTTTTTTTATGAGTAATCAATGATTTAGATAAAACAATCAATAAAGACATTAATTATGAATGTATAAATCATTTTTTTAATTAACTAGGATTTTGCTAGACGTGCGTTGTTGAAAGACCCACACTTTCATATTTGACAATTGTTACTCCAAAACAT